TTAAATTCTTTTAAAATTTAAAATTTAAAAAAAGTTTAAATTTCATTTTTTTCAAAATTTTTCCATTAACTCTGAAAAACAGGCAACGTTACCCCCCCGTAGTCGACCATTGCGCACATTTTTTGTAGCAGGACTTTTACTCCATCATGCTTCATTATTGCAGGATCTTTGGCAAGAGTTTCACACTGCAGTTAAGGATTGGGTCATCACACTTTATCAAACTATGTCAGTTTGGAAAGGACGATTGAATTTGAATTTGAAGGATTGTAACATGGTGGCTAGATAGCCCAAAGTGTTCTCTACAAGTCTACGCAAGACCGACCTCTCTATCTGTTGTGGTTCTGGAATAGCAGGCATTTCCTCAAGAGAAATGATAACGAATTACGGGTGACTCCAGAAAATGCCTGCTAATCGCGAACCTTAATAGATACAGAGATTGGCCTTGCGCAGAATAGTAGAAAACACTTTGGGCTATCTAGTCACCATGTTATAATCAAAAATCCATCCCAGGTTCAGAATCTGGCAACCTCATTGCTTTTCATCCGTCAGGTACACCAGCTGAAAAACCAAGATTTTTAGCACCAAATATATGTGAACATAGACTAAAGCCTTCTCTACAGAATCTGGAAATCGAACTCTCAATCTCTTTTCGTTCTCGAGTTATTTAAAAAACATCCATGACCGCCGTATTGAGAAAGCATAGTAGAAACCCCGTTTGCCTGAAACTAAGTACAAATAATTGCTTATGCGTAACATTTTTGAAAAGATTAACACAGGACTTTGTAGGGCTCGGAAATCTCTGTCGAATGACGTATTACTTTACCGTTACTAATAAACCATTAATTTGCAAATAAAACTGTAAGGCACCAGAGTGATATTAATTATTATTCATTAGTATGATAAATTATAAATTATTGTCTCAAAAAAGCTTTTTTTTCAAAATTTTTTTCATTAAACCATAACAACAGACCATTGACTATCAAGCAATGCGTAAATGACTTTTCTACGATTATTTTGGACTAAACTAGAAGTTTTTTAAAATGAGGACTAGGACTTTAAATTTTCATTAAAATTTAAACTTAATTAATTAATTACTCTGCGAATACTTATCAGTTCATCGAAAGAACTTAAGGATATATGTAGCCAGGTGTCCTCTTTTAACTGACAAAGTTTGAAGGTACATATATGGGGGGTGAACCCCCCTTTAAATTAAGGAAGAAACATTTGCTGGCATTTTCAAATACGCTCTTTTCGATATCCTTGAAAATATTTTGTTTGAAAGTGGCCTTCGCCTATTAAATCGATATTTTCCTAAAACTGGTCCAAAACGCCTTAATTTGGGTTTTCACGAAAACCTACCGCAAACAAAACTTTGCATGACTCGAACGAGTGTACAGGGATGTAGTCGAGTGTACTAGCTTTCAAAGGAAAAAAAATCGTCAAAAAGTAACGCTTTTTTACTGAATGGCATGCGTTTTCGTGCAAGCATCAAAAACATGAAATGACAATAGAGTTTTTTCGAAAAAGCGAAAAAATTTTATGATAAATTTTTTACTCAATCTTTGATCAAAAAAATTCTCAAAGACATGAATCTTGGCCAGAATTTGATGCTCTTTAACATGGTCGACTTAGTTTTTTCGTAGCTCTCCACATGAAAAGCAAATTTTAGAACAAAACGTTCTTTTGGCTTAGAAAGTTGTTCCTTTTCATCATGTTGAGTATTCTTCGTTTCATTTTTCTTCTTAATGTTTTATAAAGACAAGTTTGATTGAGTTTTGTAGAGAATTTGACGGCACATGTTTTGGAAAAACAATCAAGTCTAGGGATTGAAAAGATAAGAAATTATAAGCAAAATGCGAGGATGGTCATTTATTCTGGGCCACCCACTAAAAACAGAGTATGTTGTTCTTTAAGTGCTTTCATCTGTTTTTGGAGTGAATTTTTTAATCTGAAAGAGATTTGTTCACCTGTAGTTATTCTTAAAGAAAATCAACATTGACATGAGATTTAGAATTATCGATCACCTATAATCAAGTCATCTGTCGAATATTTAATCTTTGTCTCCAGAAGTCCAATGTTCAGCCTGAACCAGACAGTCAGATGACTTCAGTTTTGTAGAAGATACCTGGAACTGAGCATGCACCAGTTATAACTGATACATTTCATTCTGAAACGGATCGTATGAAAAGTATGCATATAACGTTTAATTAAAAGACGGATGAAGATAGTCCATCTTGCAGAAAAGCGTTTTATTTTATAAAATTTAATGATTTGAACATTAGCTGTTTATTAAGGAAAACTTTTTGCAAAACCAGCATGAACTTGTGGATGCCTCTGCTCTTTTAAAGTCCTTCTTTGAAAAATATGATTTTCACAGTTATTTTCACTAAAAGGATACGTTCTAGCCTAGGAGATGTTCATCTGCATTTATTACCGTTCAATCAATAATCATTCAAGAAATATAAAAATTCACCATTTTTGGAGGGAATTATCTCTATTGAAGAATGCTGTTCTATTATATTCAACTTCTTTTCTCATTCTCAATTTTTATTAAATTATAACCTAACTATTTTTGTGTTATTTTAACTATATATGATGAAAAACAAACATTTAAAAAAAATCTTATACTAAAAAATATTAAAAAATAAAAGATATATACACGCAAATAATTGTGAATGACCATTCTAATTTTTTGAATTAACATAATGTTCTCGAATATTTGATTTTGATAGTAGTGGAGGTGGTGATGGAACAATATTTTTATTTGAAATAAGATTTGGCTTTTCTAAATCAGCATCCATTTTATGAACTGAACTTCTACGACGTTTTAATGGATATCGATCACAAAACTAAAAATAGATAGAACAACAATGTAAAATTGAAGAAAAATACAAAATTGATAAATTGAAAATTATTCTTAAGAATCATTTAGACAAATTAAATTAAGTATTTAATCTGAGAAAATTAATTACGCATTGTCACTCTTCTATGTGTATATTAGAAAAGTCAGTGATATTGTAGTCAAATGATAAAATTCAACTAAGAAATTAATTTTGAATATTAAAAAGTGAATGTTGACTTACGCAAACAATAAAACAAGATAAAATGGTTGATACGACTAAAAATAATGCAAGAATTGAAAATAAAATTGTATAACTTTTTGATAATCGCATCGATGTTTCTTCTCGTTGTTGATGAATAAATAACATATGATCATAGTCTGATAAATCATGATTGGGAACTGAAATCATTGAAAATGATTCATCTAATAGTATATGAGAGTCTTGATCATTTTCGGTCACATATGACAGATCTATCGTTTTATTTGAAACATTGACTTGAAGATAATCTGTTGTAGTTGTTATTAATGAAGATGGATTATTTGGCTAAAGAATAAAATATGTATTGTGCAAACTATTCAAGTTATTTTCAGTAAATAATGTGTAGAAGTGATGAGAGAGAAAGTTGAGTTTATAAGTCAGTGTTAGTTCCATTTTACACTTTTAGTCTATTGGATTCCGTTAGAGTGTAATATTATATTATAAAATCCATCCATAGAATTGAAGATCCCCTCCAGATAACCGTTCACAGGACACAATCGAGACTCGCTGACGATCTAACACAAACAGAGTCTCATGTCTATTAGTATGTTATATGAAAGACTCACTCAAATTAATCCCTTGCCATAGAATGACGTAATGTTCACATCACGAACTCTCCATCACATCGAGAGAGTTTGACGTGGTTTGGGTATTTCTTTTTCCTGTCATAGAACTACTTAGCAAGCTCTGATTTACACATAGATAGATAGTTTGAGGTGCCTATCATCCCCTGCAGCCAAAAATAAATTTTCGAAAGTTAGATTAAATGGTTCTAGCTCTAGTTAAATTGCTCACAAAATAAGAGCCAAAACTATTTTTAGAAAATAAAAAAAAATTTTGCATACAGATGTCAAAACAAATGAGCCATTTGGTAGAGAATTTGATTCTCTGTCGGACGGGTGTGTTTTTCAGAATTTTTGGGAAAAAATATCTAGATCAGGAAATTAAAATTTAAAATTTAAACTTCCACCACGAATATTTGACTTTCATTTGTTTTTGAGTCCAGATTTGAAATCATCATGAAAAACTGCGTCTAATGATGTACTTTTAAGCTTTGTTCAAGTTAAAACAAAAAATTCCAATTGTCTCATCCGAAAAGGTTTTCACTTTGGGTATCTTGAATAAGAAAAATAATACTATGCCCAGGGGTTCACTCTGCGATTGCATCAAAATCTCGCAAGTCGTGCCGCGATCGCTGAGAAGTGGCTGATGTAGCGGCGCGATTGTAACCAACCAACTCTTATTTTTGAAAAAAGTTGTAATTCGGGATTGTGACGTGACATTTTCTTTTTATAGTGATCGTGCTCGGATCGCGGAGCCGTGCTGCGATCACTTAGAAGTTGCCATTGTCGCGGCACGATCGCGATGAAGTCTTACTTTTCGAAAATTTGCATTTCGCGATCGCGAAGCGACAATATCGACTTTTTAGCGATCACTGTGCGACGTAGCGATCCGAGCACGATCACTGAAAGAAAAAATCGTCACGTTGCTATCGTACTTTTTCTCTTATAATCCCAGCAAGATACAACGTCACGGTGCGTCACCCGTGCAAATCTTATTTATCATTTTGTTTTGCTTACGCGCCTGGTATATAACTCGTACTGATTTTTCGAAAAATGTTCAAAATCTTATCACATCTTAATAATAACTTACGACATGACCAATATAGTCTTGCGAAGTCGCGTCGCGTCTACTCTGTTCGTCTGCGGTCGTAGTAAAAGTAGCGTGGCTCATTTACTGATATTAGACGGAAAACGCGAATAAATAGTAACTATAGTAAAATATTTAAGAGTCATTGATTTTTGTATGAACGCGTAAAAATAGCGATCGCTAAAAATCGCGTCTTATTTCGCGAGTCTTACACGGAAAAGTGTTTTCTGTTTGAAGTGAAACGTTGGTCAACTACTGTTTACTTACGAATTCGGAGATCTGAAGTTACGGAATCAATTTTCAAAAGATAAAATTAGTTTCATGGTCGATATCTTTCACTACGAATGTCCTCGCCAGACAACAGAGTGCACTCAGTCTAATAATCGAACATTGAGAGAAACGTACGATTTCCATTACATATAATATAAACCTCGTACCATCTGCCTCTGAGAAAACGAACTTCAGCTCTGATGTGATGCATTGCACCGGTCGAAATTTCGGTGAGTGTAATTTTGAAAAATCTCTTTGGAACTCTCATGTTAATAACATACCTGTACAGAACGACATTTGCCTTAAAAAGTCTACGCTAACCTGCGAGGTTTCAAGCTTTTTTTGTTCGGACGCAGGAAAGAATGTCTTAGGACATATTAAAGAAATCTAGTCAATATAAATTCTAAGAATAATGTCGTAATTCCCGCTATAGTCAGTTACATAAAAATGTTGTAAAATCTAACCAAACCACTTGAAACACAGAGTAGACTGCATACTTAGCACACCGGTATAACTTTAGACTCATTTGCCTTATTCTGTAAAACCTTTTAGAACCTTGAGAATGGATAAAAACAATTCAGATCAAACGCAAAATCGAAAGATTTTTCAAAATTTTCACGTGGTTTAATTCAAAGTCAAAAAATAACCGAGTACAATGTATTTCAAAATAGACAGTAAAGCTGACGCACGTTTCATTTCGCGAAGAAAAACACCGACGGATTGAAAAAACTTTAACTAATAGAACGCAACACTGACGAAGTCTCGTACAGACCATTACACATTCTCTCAGAACAGTAGACCACTGCTGTCCTTTTATTTCTGAAGGTACCCTCGACGATTTTTGGTCTACAATGGACTTGAATTGGTAGCCAAAGTAGAAGAACATGGTGGTCTTCTATTCCTGGATAATAGTTCAAATTAGACTACCATAGAACAGTACTTAATCGAACACCACAGAGAGAATGCTTGTCCAGAGGTAAAATTTTGATAAACTTTAGTAAAAATTACTGGCCAAAAGTTGATGAAAATATTTAGTTTTTACGAAAAGTTCTGAATTTCTAAACGTCGCCAACGTCGAAGATAGGCAACTCGAGAAGAATATAAGCTCCGATAACCTGCTTTCATAGAAAACAGAAAATCACCCAGTACCTATTTACTAGCAACTAAGTCTCTTGAAGCAGGTTTAAAACAATAGAATAGCTCATTTTTACCTGGATTGTTGTTACATTATGTCCGAATCGATTTTCCAAATACGTTTCTTCATTTGTTCCATTTAGTACTAACGTTGTATCGGTTATAGGTAAAGCAAATAATGATAGAATTGTGCATAAATATGCCACAACAACAGATAAAATGAATTTGTGAAACATTAGTTAACGTATAAATTGTATGTGTAAAATAAAATATAAAATATGTTGACTAGTGAACAGAAAATGGATGGATGGATGGATGATATGACAATAGAACAGAATATACAAGTCTTCTTCGAATAGTACAAATTTTACATTCATCTTCTATTTTCTCCTACTTATCCGTCCAGGACGATACGAACAAACGAACGAAGCGCGTGCAAATCTTAGTAACAAGAATAAAAGTTGTCTCAACGCAAAAAATTCGCTATAGGAATAATCTGTTGTTTAATGTACTATCTATGCGTTCATTGTTTATATGTGAATGAAAGCACAAATAGAAACAAGAAAAAAATAGATACTAGAATTAATTCGTGAATGAAGAATTGATAGTATATCATAGCTTACCCAATCAAGAATTTTCTCAGTGTTTTATATAGACATGCAAAACACACGGGATTTACCTATAAAAGTGTTTCTCATTTTCTTCTATTCGTATTTTAAGTTATAATTAAACAATTCCTTAGTATAAATTATGCACAATTATCTCCTCTATCAATATTGATAGAGGAGATAATTGTGCATAATTTATACTAAGGAATTGTTTAATTATAACTTAAAATACGAATAGAAGAAAATGAGAAACACTTTTATAGGTAAATCCCGTGTGTTTTGCACGGATTATTCTAATTCCCCACATGCGGGGCAGTGGAACATAAAATAATTTTACCTGTCCCTTTTTGAATGGAGCTAGCTTCGTCAAATATTATCCGTTTGCGATCTAATCCATATTAGGCAATAGAGCTGAATATTCTCTACATATCGACTTAGGATGAGTGCAAAAATAATTTAAAATACAAATATAAAATTCAACTTTTATTAAAACTAAATATTTTCATCAACTTTTGGCCAGTAATTTTTACTAAAGTTTATCAAAATTTTACCTCTGGACAAGCATTCTCTCTGTGGTGTTCGATTAAGTACTGT